GAAGGATTATCCTGCTCTACTCGTCTCGAATTCATTCATGTCCTAGTTATAGAAGATTTCAATCTTCCAATCCGAAAAACTTATTCCATCATGCAGCCTCTCTTCGACGAACCGAAATCGGAGTTTCCTAACCGCTAGTTCCTAATGGACGACCAACAACAATGGTGACTCCACTGACCTTCCGACTGAGCAGTACTCTCAACATTTCAACCGACTCACACTAACTGAATTGATGAGAGCCTCACCTACAACTCTACAGGACCCTTAGACATTATGGAGTCCTCGATATGCGACGATCTGCACGGCCACTTACTATCCACAAACTTCTCGTCACCCCAACTGCTCGGTTTCATAAAAGTTCAAGCCTGTATAGCCAACCTGACAACTGTGGTGGACAGGTGGACAACCATCCTCGATCGTAAGGGGAAGATTGGTGTCATGTACATCGACTTTCAAAAGCTTTCGATAGGGTCAACCATATATTTTTTATCAAGCAGCTAATACGTCTATGTATCAAATCACCTTCAATTGATTGGCTCACTTCATACCTCAAATTCGACATTTTAAGTTAAGTGTTAACTTCACTTTCTCATAAACGATGGGATGTCCTAGTGGGGTCCGCACGGTTCGTCATTAGAACCTCATATATTTTTATTCATATAAATGATCTTCCACGGCAGATATTGTCAGATTTATTACTTGCAGCTAACGATGTGAAAATTTGGAGAGAAGTATGCAATCAAGAGGAGAGACTGACATTTCGGGGGATCTGACTCGACTTTAATGTCGGGTAGATGACAACGAACTTATCTTTGACACCTCAATGTGCAGAGCAGTTCATCTGAGACATCTTGCAGACCACAGTTACAATATAGGCAATTCTTCTCTAGAGGTGTCGGAACTTGGAATCACCTAGGAGTGTTGGCAGCGTTTGACCTGAAGTCTTACGCTAAATACGACAGTAATTTCTTCCGAGTAATCATTGCACTGGAAACGTTGAAGTGCATTGTCGACTAATCCGGCGAAAGGACATTTTGTATAGTCTTCAACAGTTTGATTCTACGTTTAGAGTACGGAAACGCAGCATTTTCCCCCTCACTCTGAAAGGATAAGGACATTTTGTTGATCATCGAACGGTGAGCCACCAAATCAGTTCGAGGACTCAAAATCAGGTTTTATGGAGAGCGCTTACAATCACTGGACATATACCCATCAGAGTACAGGTGTTTTAGAGGTGACATTCAAATGTCCTACGCATTCTAAATACCTCTGTACCATCCCCTTAAACACCTAGTTAAGCTTAGTCTCAACACAAACATTCGGGTTAATACTCAGAATCTGGAGATATAACACAGCAAACAAACTGTAGACACACCTTCTACTCTCTAAGCACAGTCAAATGCTGGAATTCGCTGAGGACTGAGCTAGACTAAGTGACTTCCTCAGAGGCCTTGAAAAGGAAACTTGACATATTCTTAAGGACTAAAGATGTTATCTTACTATGATTCACCAGTTTCTTTTTCTTTTTCTCGATTTATCGACAATATACCTAGGTTCCTGCCTGGGGGCCCACGGTGATCCCCCTCTACTAGATATGGAGGCCCGTCGAGCGAAAGCTTCTTATATTCCATCTAAAATAATTTTAACTGTCTGAGCGTGTTGGGATGAAATTAATGAAGGGTCACTCTAACGTCCTTTACGATGAGAGCTTATAACGCCTAAACCTTTCTCCTTGTCGTATCGTAGGACGCAAAGTGACCTTATTCCGGCATTTTGCGTTTTATCTGTGATTCGGGTTTTTATGTGTCTTATCTTTCTGCTTACTCCAGTACTAATAATCCCAGAGGTCATAACAGGAAAGTTTACAAACCGCGATCTTATAAACTTAAGGTAGAGTTCCTCTTTTCGTATCAAGTATCTAATGATCGTAACGCCTTATCCGAACAAGTCGATTTTTGAAAAGACAGTTGTACCTTTCAAGGTAGCTGTCAAATCGTGAATGTGAGGCGACGGGTAACGATCGAGAATGGTTTTTGCATTCAATCGCCGATAGTCACCAGTTGGACGCCAATCGTTGCTGTCCTTTTTAGGGACCATGTGCAACGGAGGCGCATATGGGCTATTTGACGGTTGCATGATTCCTAAGTCTATCATATGGTCGAACTCGTTTTTTGCTAACCTTAGCTTTTCAGGAGCTAGTCGTCGTGCTTTAGAGAATACAGGTGGTCCTGTAGTCGTGATGTGATGTGTAACGTTGCTGGTTACACACGGTAGTTTCGGTTGAGTTTGTTGTATCCCAGGGTACTTATCGAGTAGTGGTTGATAGAGTGGGTCTATCATATGTTTAACTGTGACTGGGGATACTCTACAACCAGTAAAAGAAGTTACACAAACGGACAACTTAGTGTTTCCGTCTACTAGCCTCCGTTTGCACGTATCGATGACCAGAATATGATGTTGTAGAAGGTCCATACCAGTGATTGGCACAGATACATCTGCAACAACGAAGATGCAGTAGATGGGTTTGCGTAAACCCACGTTAAGGTAAACGTACCTGTTGCCATACGTAGCGATCGGTTTTCCGTTTGCCGCCTGTAAGTTTAGAGTCGATTCGTGAATTCGGTCGTTAGGATTTGCTGGGAGAACGCTAACTTCTGCTCCAGTGTCGACGAGGTAGCGCAATCTCGTTGTCACATCTGTGACGTATAACAGACGGCTATATTCGCCGGCTACGGTTGCCGTTAACGCGTGCCGGCTTGGAAGTTTCCCGAGTTGTTTTTCGAGTCAGTCGGATCTGAGTTGGTAAAATTGCAGGGTTTTCTGCAATTTCTGGAAGACTTTCCATGTTGGTTATGATACCAGCACCAGTCGGGGTTATCCATCTCTCGTGGTCTAGAGACAGATCGCTTACGAGAAATGCTTCTACGTGGGGTGTGCGATCGCTTACGGTCGTTACGAAAATTAGGATAACGCCTAAGTGTATGACATAACTCTTTTATGTCATTCTGAGTCGTTTGGGGCTTTTCTTTGACTGAAAATACCTCGGTAGTAGAAGATTTCGTAATTTCTAAGATACGATCGGCAGATGCAGCCAGTTCGTCTAAGGCGTTGTTTCGACACGAGACCAGAACCGCTTGCACCTGTTGGGGAAGTTTTGACAAGAAGAGTTGTTTGAATAGACCTTCGTCGAAAGTTCTTGGGCCTATGACCTCTTTCATCCGTTGCAACATGTCTGTCGCAGAACCGTGTTGCAGGTCGATGTTATTGAAGAGTTGATCTAACCTTTGTCGATCGGTTAGGTCTCCTCGTTTGAGAATCGAGCGTTTTAAGATTTCGTAAGGTTCGGAAACATCACTAGTAAACATACTAGGTGTTACGTTCCTGTGGTAGTGCCTTGACTACTGCGAGGAATTGTGCACGTGTGTCGATCACGCCGTGCTCGTGGAAGTGGGCTTCTGCGTAGCAGAACCAGGCTTCGATATTGTCGGGCCAGAAAAGCATGAGTTGAAACGAAGGCGGGGACAAAGTTTTAAGTTTGAGTACTTTGGGTGTCTGTTCAGTCATGATGAAATATGAAGTACGATAATGAACGAGGGGAAAAAATATATATATCCAAGAAAAAACACGAAAAAAATAAAAAATAAGTCAGTATATATAAAAATCCCAAAAGGGAACAGACTCACAGTTGCAACTAGGTGTACCAGATCACGTCAGGCTTACCAATGAAGATGGCACAGGTATTCAGTGTTTGAAAACGCTTCTACCAGTAACACCTTCTAATATGATTCGTTCCCACCAAGAGAAATCAAAAGACAGAGTCGAGGAGATCGGAAGAGAGTATTTGGCGATAACCAAAATATCGGAATTCTCTGATCTAATCTGGCTAGCGATTGCGGTAGATGTTGAGCACAGCGTTACCACACGTGATCTGGTGCGGATGCATGACCGAGCGCCTTCAGCTAGATGAGTCCACTAAAACATATGGTCAGCATCCAATGTCGAAAACTTACAGGGCTATTTATTTTGGGGATTTATTTACTGCTACGAGCCATATCAGTGAATATTTTCAAGGAGAAACTGGACCTTCACTGGAAAGCAGTCTGTCAGGATTTACACTGGTTCACCCACCCACGAGTTGCACAAATCAGTTTTCGCGTTTCTTTTCGTGTGTGTTTTATGACACGGGCACAGCCGTAAGCCAAGGGTTTTCGCGTACATGTTACATATTGTTGTGGATTTTTTGTGTCGTTCTTCAACAGCATTTTTTCCATCACACATCAATTTTCGTAGTGCTTGTGCTTACGAGTGGAGAGTTTAGCTTTCATAGCTTTGACATCAGCAGCGGCAACCTACTTACCAGTTCTCTCCCAAATGCTTTCTATAACCGAGAGTTCAATATTACTGGCGTCAAGTTTTCTTTTCCTTGGATGACAATCTTCTACTACACGGATCACAACCATCCTTGTAATAGTTCATGAATGGTTTGTGAGACATGTTGTAAGATTTTATGAAGTATCCTTGACCTTCCAATCTTATACGAAACACAGATTAGCATTTTACAAACTTAGACCTTAAATGTCACAGATTAGTTAAAGTCCTCACGGTTTTTTATTCACTGTCAGACCAAACGTGCAACGAAACACCACAAACAAGTATTTATATATCATATCCTTCAGCAATTTACTTTCTGTGTGAACATAGTGCGTATGGGTTATCTGAGAAAACAGAATTATCCATCCATACTTTATGAAAATACTTTAACGCACTATCAAATTCACTCAAGCTTCCGAATCGTTTGTTCAGCATAATACGTCGAAACGCGTCGCTTAAGTCCACTGAAATTTCACTTGAGCATGAAGCACAAAAAAATTTATTCCATGAAAAAAACCAACTGAAAGAATTACGACATTCGTCTTAACTTCTTTGTTTAACAGCGACTCACAAAAACTCCAAGTATCTATAACTTTTAACTTTATCTTATCTTTCTAACGTTGTTTTCTGGACCTTATCAACAAATTATATAAAGGTGTTGACGGTTACTACAGCAGTTGGGACCACAGATCAAGTTACAAAGCAACAGCAGAGCTAACGTGTACACTACAAAAGAGAGAATGCTAAATCAACGTTCTTAGCAGTTATTTTGTGCTTTTTTGTTCAGCAAAAGATGACTTGTATATCGAAAAACCTAATACTCAAACGACATATCACATCCACGGCAATCGAAATACGGAATGAACGCCTCTGGTCAGGCTGCTCAAGGTCGTTGAAACGAAACGGCGGGCAGACTTGAAGTAGCTTACCTTTTTTCCTTGCCGTGTTTTATCCATATACACTGAGCATTTTTCTTTGAGATAATTTTATTCACTCTCCCGTATTCGTACTTAGTTGACCGTTCGATCAACACTTTTGGGGTTATCAAGCAAGTCAGTAGCCGATAAAGTCCACATATTCATGGGATAAATATGTATTGCTGGGGATGGTTCTCACGTTTCGCACAATTTCCTATTAAAAAATACCTTGTTGAAAACACTGAAAGATTTAGCCTTTAGACTTTATATCACCACCTGCCACAGAATATTCTGTGGTGTGTATATAAAGTTGTTCTTGGATATCCCAGAGCCCATATTGGTTCTGACCAATATTGGAAAAACTAGTTCTTTTCATATGCACGATTTTCACTGAGTGATTTTTTAAACATTCACATTATTTTGATGACAGTGATTTAGTCTGATGAACATTTTGCGTAGGTGTGGTGATGGACACAACTATGACTTGGTATCCAAACACTAAACTCACTTTTCTTTAATATATCGCTCAATGGAAGCTATATATTTTTCTTTAAGTTGCTACCACTTGAACTTATACATACATGTTTGTATCAGTCAGTGCGTGTATGCACATATACGTTTACATGAGCTTAAAAATATACACATGAACCAACATGTCCATCTACGACTCTTACTGTTTTTCGAATCATGTTCCTGTTTAATAGTACGTATTTGATTGTCCAGCAGTGTACTAGTGCAGTCTGTACTTCGTTTCATTACAGTATACCATCTAGAAATCAAGTAACCAATTTAGTTTGCAAAATTCGTATTGATAAACGAGTATATGCTGTCACTTTACAACCATGCTGTTACATTCTTTGGTTAGATTAATCGAATTAGGGGTAAGTGTAGTTAAATAGAGATATTTCCCATGGTATTTCTACCACTTGGTTTCACAGTGTAGCGGTAAATAAATCCCTAAAATAAATAGCTCTGTAAGTTTTCGACATTGGATGCTGACCATATGTTTTAGTGGACTCATCTAGCTGAAGGCGCTCGGTCAGGCATCCGCACCAGATCACGTGTAGTAACGCCGTGCTCAACATCAACCACAATCGCTAGCCAGATTAGATCAGAGAATCCCGGTATATTGGTCATCGCCAAATATACTCTTCCGATCTCCTCGACTCTGTCTTTTGATTTCTCTTGGTGGGAACGAAACATATTAGAAGGTGTTACTGGTAGAAGCGTTGTCAAACACTGAATACCTGTGACATCATCATTGGTGAGACCGTCGTGATCTGGTACACCTTATTGCAACTGTGAGTCTGTTCCTTTTTGGGATTTTTATATATCATTGCCTTATTTTTTATTTTTTTTAAACATTGTGATTTTTTTTCGTGTTTTTCTTGGATATATATATATTTTCCCCTCGTTCATTATCGTACTTCATATTTCATCATGACTGAACAGACACCTAAAGTACTCAAGCTTAAGACCTTGTCCCCACCTTCGTTTCAACTGATGCCTTTCTGGCCCGACAACATCGAAGCCTGGTTTTGCTACGCAGAAGCCGACTTTTCCGAGCACGGCGTGATCGACACACGTGCACAATTCCTCGCAGTAGTCAAGGCACTACCGCGCGAATTCAACAGGTACGTAACACCTAGTATGTTTACTAGTGATGTTTCCGATCCTTACGAAATCTTAAAACGCTCGATTCTTAAACGAGGAGACCTAACCGATCGACAAAGGTTAGATCAACTCTTCAATAACATCGACCTGCAACACGGTTCTGCGACAGACATGTTGCAACGGATGAGAGAGGTTATAGGCCCAAGAACTTTCGACGAAGGTCTATTCAAACAACTCTTCTTGTCAAAACTTCCCCAACAGGTGCAAGCAGTTCTGGTCTCGTTCCAGAACAACGCCTTAGACGAACTAGCTGTATCTGCCGACCGCATTCTAGAAATTACGAAACCTTCTACTACCGAGGTATTTTCAGTCAAAGAAAAGCCTCACACGACTCAGAATGACATAACCGACTTATGTCACACACTCACGCGTTATCTTAGTCTTCGTACCGACCGTAAGAGATCGCGCACACCACGTAGAAGCATTTCTCGTAAGCGATCTGTCTCTAGACCACGAGAGACAGATAACCCCGACTGGTGCTGGTATCATAACCAGTATGGAAAGTTTTCCAGAAATTGCAGAAAACCCTGCAATTTTCCCAACACGAAACCGACTGATTCGAAAAACAATTCGGGAAACTTCCAAGCCGGCACGCGTTAACGGCAACCGTAGCCGGCGAACAAAGCCGTCTGTTATTCGTCACAGATGTGACAACGAGAGTTCGCTACCTCGTCGACACTGGCGCAGAAGTTAGCGTTCTCCCAGCAAATCCTAACGACCGACTTCACGAATCGACCCTAAACTTACAGGCGGCAAACGGAAAACCGATCGCTACGTATGGCAAAAGGTACGTTTACCTTAACGTGGGTTTACGCAAACCCATCCACTGGATTTTCGTCGTTGCAGATGTTTCTATGCCAATCATTGGTATGGACCTTCTACAACACCACAATCTGATCATCGACACTCGCAAACGGAGGCTAGTAGACGGAAACACTAATTTGTCCGTTTGCGTAACTTCTTTTACTGGTTGTAGAGTATCCCCAGTCACAGTTAAACATATGATAGACCCACTCTATCAACCACTACTCGATAAGTACCCTGGGATACAACAAACTCAAACGAAACTACCGTGTGTAACCAGCAATGTTACACATCACATCACGACTACAGGACCACCTGTATTTTCTAAAGCACGACGACTAGCTCCTGAAAAGCTAAGGTTAGCGAAAAACGAATTCGATCACATGATGGACTTAGGAATCATACGACCGTCAAGTAGCCCATATGCATCTCCGTTGCACATGGTCCCTAAAAAGGACAGCAACGATTGGCGTCCAACTGGTGACTATCGGCGATTGAACGCGAAAACCATTCCCGATCGTTACCCGTTGCCTCACATTCACGATTTGACAGCTACCTTGAAAGGTACAACTGTCTTTTCGAAAATCGACTTGGTTAAAGCGTATAACCAAATCCCTATGGCTACTGACGACATACCGAAAACGGCTATCATAACTCCCTTCGGACTCTATGAATTTTTGCGAATGCCTTTCGGTCTAAGGAATGCTGCTCAAACATTCCAAAGATTCATAGACGACGTTTTTCGAGGTCTCAACTTCGTACACGCGTATGTTGACGACTGTCTAATCGCAAGTCCGGACAGAGAAACACATCTCAAGCATCTGGACCTTGTTTTCGAACGATTACAAAAACATGGCATAACTGTAAACGTTCAGAAATGCCAATTTGGAACCGACTCGTTAGACTTTCTGGGACACACTATCGATGCTCAAGGTATCCGACCCCTTAGAACCAAAGTGGCGGCCATTCTGGATTACCCAGAACCGACCACCGTCAAGCAATTACGCACGTTCAACGGCCTGGTAAGTTTCTATAGACGTTTCATACCCAGATGCGCATCACTTATGAAACCTCTGACCGACCAACTTCGTGGAAATGCGAAATCCATTAATTTGGACGACACCGCACGAAAAGCATTCTCCACAGTCAAGGAACTGATTGCTAAAGCAACAATGCTCGCACATCAGGACACCCGAGCACCCATTAGCATCGCAGTAGACGCATCCGACTCAGCAATCGGAGGAGTCTTACAACAATGGGTTAACAACTCCTGGCAACCCTTGGCATTTTTCTCTAGAAGGTTGCTAGACACCGAATCGAGGTACAGCACATTCGGTAGGGAACTCCTAGCTATGTATTGTGCTGTACGGCATTTCCAACACTATATCGAAGGCCGTGAATTCACTCTTTTCACGGACCATAAACCGCTCACTTTCTCGTTAAGCTCTCCTTCTGACAAGTACTCTCCCCGTGAGTCTCGACAACTGGACTACATTTCGCAGTTTACTTCAGATATTCAACACATCTCTGGAGCAAACAATGTAGTTGCAGACGCTTTATCTCGTATAACTTCCTTGAACAGTTTCCAAGGAATCGACCTTCTTAAACTCGCCGAGCTTCAAAAAGAAGACAGTGATCTTCAGCACGAGTTATCGTCCACAACACTTAAACTACGCATCAAACAGATGGGAACAGGTAAGGAAACCTTACTTTGTGACACATCTACAGGTAGGGATCGCCCAATCGTGCCGAAACATTATCGACGCAATGTCTTCAACACATTGCACAAACTTTCTCATCCAGGTGTTCGTGCAACCATCAAGCTTATAGCAGAACGATTTTGCTGGCCTGGCATGAATAAAGACGTGAGGGAGTGGGCACGCTCCTGTGTAAGCTGCCAAAAATCTAAGGTTATCAGACACAATAAATGTCCCTTAGGCTCGTTTAAAACTCCCGATGCTCGTTTCGACCATGTTCATCTGGATTTGGTAGGACCTTTACCAGATTCAAATGGATACTCTTATCTCTTAACCTGCGTAGACCGTTTCACTCGATGGCCAGAAGCAGTACCTATCAAGGACAGCACTGCTGAAACAGTGGCCCGCACATTCGTCGAACGATGGGTAGCAAACTTCGGTTGCCCTTCAACCATCACTACAGACCGCGGACGTCAGTTTGAATCTGATCTTTTCCGTCGTCTGACCACACTTTTAGGAATCACTCGCTTCCGAACGACCGCCTACCATCCCCAAGCAAACGGGTTGGTAGAACGTTTTCACCGACAACTGAAAGCTTCGCTATCAGCTGCAAACGTTTCACAATGGACCAGACGCTGCTAAATTTAGTAAGCTATCAGAAGAGTGTTTACCAACGACAAACTCGTTGGGTTTAAACTTCTGGCTGGCCACGTCTTAGGGTCGTCACTGCCCCACTAGGGGGGGAGTGATCTGTAGCGGTAAATAAATCCCTAAAATAAATAGCTCTGTAAGTTTTCGACATTGGATGCTGACCATATGTTTTAGTGGACTAATCTAGCTGAAGGCGCTCGGTCAGGCATCCGCACCAGATCACGTGTAGTAACGCCGTGCTCAACATCAACCACAATCGCTAGCCAGATTAGATCAGAGATTCCCGGTATATTGGTCATCGCCAAATATACTCTTCCGATCTCCTCGACTCTGTCTTTTGATTTCTCTTGGTGGGAACGAAACATATTAGAAGGTGTTACTGGTAGAAGCGTTGTGAAACACTGAATACCTGTGACATCATCAACAGTTTCCCTTTTCTTATAACATCCAGTAAGTCAAGGTACTTCCCTTTCAGCCAGTAAATTCCACGCTTTATCGTTGCTCCGTGTACTGCTTAAATAGCTGAATAGTACAATGAATCCACACAGTGTATTCCAAAGGAAAGCAAACGAGCCTGTGTTTGATAAATGAGTCATATTTTCGATTAAATGTCCTGATACGTGCTAGTTTTTGATGTTTGCATTATTTTGAAATGTTTTTTTTTCAGCTTTAGTTCATAGAAATTCATGTAAGTAAATGAGAGCTAGCGCTAGTGCTTATACTACCGCACCGTCTAATCCACCATCTATTCATCATGAACCAAACTCCAATATCTTCAGAAACTCTATAGAACATTCACAGAGCCTTACTTCTAGTAACAGCATAGTTAACACTGTTTCATCACTATCAAGAGGTGAGGTTTGGTTATATTGCTTGATTTCTAACTTGTTTTCTAGATAAACCTATTAATGAGGCAGGACCTATGGAATCATATGATAGTCTTAACCTGCAGAACCGTTTGGAAAATTTTAAACATTGGAGTGTAACAACATTCAAATGCACAAAACAAATGATTGAAGAAAAACTTGGAACAGCAAGTGTAACATGTGATCAAGAATTAGAGGATCGAATTTCAATGTTTAGGTTAGTTCGAAAAGTGTTTAGCGGGCGATATTCAGTTATTTAATTTACAAACAAGCATACCACATTAATGAATTAAAATTTTTAATTTCCATACATATTGTTTTAAAGTAAATTCTAGTAGCCCTATTAACTAAACGACACCAAATTACCATGTGACACTTTCCTGCATCTGCGATCGGTAAAATTAAAGTGTTGCAGTGCTTATTTCTATTTATAAAGGATATTCATTCAAACTGCTGAAAGAATGAATATAAAACAATGAGATCAACGTTTTAGATCACATTATTTTTATTGTGTGTTATGGTTTAAATTTTTAAAATGAGACACCACATTACATGGCTCACAACTAATCACAATGGAGTAGGTGTATACACACTCTGTCTTCCCTTAAGCCATGAGATCAAAATTACTTTATACCTTTCTTCCTACGAACTAATTCTTCCTCCTTGTATCATATCCTTATATGAAATTGTTTTTGCTTCTAATACCGTTGAAGTAACTGCTTCTATGAATTTGGTGTCCATCTTGTTGTGCTAATGAGGTATGGCATATATTGCATATATGTAGCTGACCGACTGACTGACTTGAGTACTACTTCCTCACGTGCTTTCGAAAGATCTAACTTCCTGTTTTCAAATTATTAATCATTGTTGAACTAACATTGTTCCTGTTAAAATGTATTTGAAACGATTTTGCTCTTAACAATAAAACCAAACGCTGTTGTGAATGTAGTCTGAACAAAGGTATTAGCGTTTTGCGTGAGATGTTTTGAATCTGTAATTCATTGACTGGAAATGCCAATGATAAAAGTCTTAGCGTAAACATACGTTTTATGAGAACATAGTCTATTCTGAAGGTAAAATTTTAGAATTCAAGGTAGAAACCAGTGTTACAAATTCATCCAGGCTCATCAGATAAATATATAACTTTTGACCGCTTTTAAACATACTGCATTGAATATGCAAGCATTTAGGCCTAAAACTTAGTTACTTTTAACAAAAGACGAATCATGTATTACCTTGTTTTACTGACTTTTTTTTCAGCTGGTGCACGTCATTTCTGGCTTTGTTAAGAAATAAAGTGTAAAATATTTACCGTATAGAAACTATATCATACTTAAGTGATTTCATAAGTGAAATCACATGTACCCCCTTTAATCTGGCTTTATTATAAAATGACGTCTAACAGAATAGTGTTCAGTGCGTAGAAAATATTGTATAGCAGAAATCAAAGTTGTTTACGCAAAGTATAAGTGGGTTACTGAGGGGATTGTCACTAGGACTTTCACAATGTTGTCTCGTGACATCGATGAGGTAATTGGGCCAATAAAAGATGCTTAGAGAATATTTTTGTCTTATCCACCCACACATACGCAATATCAACTCACCAACATATTCAACAACTAACAATTTTTTTGAAACTATTAACCTGTTCTTTCATCTTTCTATGTTGATATGGTGTTGGGACTTGAGGGAGTGTATATATGTCCCAGATTATACGTTGCATATGACTGACTATTATGGGAATATGATTTGTTTTTGATATCCAAAATATTGCGGGTTGTAGTAATATCCGAACAAAAAAACTTTTAAATAGAGTCTTTGGAGCCAATATGAATATTATTATGAACAAACTACGCCATTGTTATAGTAGGGTGTTTAGTTGAGTAAAATCTTTCAAGTAAACTTAGGATTGTTTCACTATAGGTTAAGATGAAAAATTCTTTCATTTTAGGTTTTGTTTGCTAGAAGTTTTATAAACATGTAATGCGTAAGATCTACTTAATCAGTGTACTTCAATATATGCAAGGGACATACATAACCTACCATCACTAGTTTTCTAATAGTATTGATAATTATTACATATATGGTTTTTGACGGGTTTTCTTGCTTGTTCTTGAACATCATATTTAAGAATCATTAAATTATGAAATGTATTCTTATGAGAGAAGGTGAAATTCCGTTTTTCAGTTAAAATGCTTTCAACATCCTCTGTACGAATATTAAACTTACGGCTGACGTTTCTCCGAGCTTTCTAGCCAGTAATTATTGGTGTGTAGTATTCTTTTCTTTTATCTTTGTTTCGATATAGAAATATGCATCAACAGTATAAAATATTGCATAACCTCGCTGAAAAGTTAGCTAATAGTTTTCGTGAAACTATTCATCATCAACGTGCATTTACGAGTCATATGACTACTTTAATTGTACAGCAGCCTGATTTAAGCAGTGAATTCACCTATAATACAGAAACCCAACGTATTGTTATATCAAATGGAGAAAAATTACTGGGTATGGATTGTGTACTTTTTGGCTTCATTTCACGTTTTATTTAATTTTTCTTTGAGATTTTTCTCATGAGCTTACTTCAGATAAAAAAACAGCTGTTTTTCTCTGGTATAGGACACTTTAATGTCATTGCACGATCTCTACAGATGTCAAACCCAAGAATTTTAGGTCTCACGATGTGCCTATTACATTTAGATCATTAAGTTAAAATCCAATCTAAAGGTAAGGCGCTTTTGAGAGGGAGGATTGATCATATGATTATATGACTTGAATTAGGCAGTGAATAATTGGTTCATGTACTCGGCTTTCTAGTAGAGCAATGTTACGCCAGCCATTAAAAGTGTGGTTCAAAGCTGACTATATAAATATTCACTTAGTAAACGGGATACACTTGTCATTATTTTTTATATATTGTCTTGACTATTGGGGGTCATAAAAATCAAATTGGTTATTATTAGTACACCAAAATACATAATATCTTAATGGCTCATAAGAAACTAATGGGACATTTCTGTTTTATTTAAGTAACTAACATCAGTCAAGCCAGTGGTACTATAAACCAACTTATCTTAATGGTTATACATTTCCATTAGTATGGGAAGCATTTACTTCTTGGGTACCAACTAGACCAGTTTTTTAAGCGATTTTCAGAAGAAATGCAGGTTTTTATTTTCTTATAGTTGAAAAGACAATTTTCAAGTATGAATGTTTAATTCGCGCTATTAAATGACTATACTTTAAATTGATAAAATGTCCTTAAAATTAGTTAAAGGGGTTGAATAGATTTCTTTTTGGTGTATGTTATGATAACTGGATTATTGTTCATCATAGATCAATGTTGCAGTGTTAATTTTGTTACTATTTAACTATTGTTGTTTGAAAGTTCTTTAATTCCACCCTTAAAGCTTCAGAAAAGATTTTCTTCGGATTATGTAATAGTAAGCTCTTGAAGTTACTATATTTTAGTTTAATCGTTTCTTAACTTTGTCTGACTCTATACTCCTATGTGACAAATTTCTTTTTTATCTATTTATTTAAACACAAATACTGGTACAAAGATTTATAGTTCATGTAGATGATTTTGATGGAGTTTTGTTCTCTGAGCTGGATGGTTTGGTCGTGGAGTTTTCATCGTTCTTCTGAACATCATCAGCACAAACTTCAGGTAGCCAATCAAGATCGAGGTTTGTAGGACAAGCTGTGAATCATATGTGGAGAAATTCAGACACTTCACTTCTATCTGGTTTGTGCTGATCATGTTGTTCAGAAGAACGATGAAAGCTCCACGATCACACCATCCAGCTCAGTGAATAAAACTCCACCAAAAACACTGGTACAAAAAGGCATCAAAATATATGTGCGCCACACAATAGCAATGAGACTGTGAAGAGATAGAAAAACGGAGGTGATTATTATAAAAGAGAAAGAAATCAATAGTTTTAATATGAGCGTGGAAAAAGTAGTGGAAGGAGCGTTTCATTAAGAAAATACGACCAAAAAGGATTCTTTCAGTCAAGGAAGTTATTCTTATATGAAGATGGTAAAAGAATGTTACAACAGGACGTCCAACAACGTTTTAAGCCACAAGGTTGCTCTATCTCTGAAACATCAACCAAGGGGTCGTGAAGGACCAGCAGAAGTCAGTCCTGCAGAGCTTTCTTTCATACCACGACACGATGTCATGCACTGACCACCTCTCCGCTTTTTCTAACAATTATCTGACCTACAGCCTTTATTTATACATAAAACGAAGTGCATAACCATGTTATTATGTTTGCATTTCATTAATCGTTTGTAGAGTTCTGTTTTATACGATGAGTGTGTACTTGCTGAATCTCTACAAATCCATTCTGTGAATTATTGCAAACCTTATGGTGTTAAGAAGACTTCCTTAACACTACACCAAGTTGATTAATTTATTATAACAATTAAGCACGCATATAATAGTGGCTTCTAGTTTTATTTCTAACCTGTTTACCGTATAATCAAAATAGTTTTCGTTATAACATCCGAATTGCCTCAGTCGATTGTAATTGATAAGTCAGTGTCATTCTGAAGAAATGTAGTGTAGTAACCAATATTTGTCTGACTGTCTCAATGGATTTGAAATTTAGGCAGATGACGGTTACGCAGTAAAATGCGATTATTGGCACAAGTAACTTCTAAGTAAACTGATATCGAAAGACACTACGATTAGCTACCGTAGTGCGTTTTCTTGTTAATCAATGCAATAATAAATTTATGTCAGATGTTTATTGAACATATCATTATACAATTATTCCAACTTTTCTAATTTCACGTATCCATCTGTCACTTGTGAGAAATTCGCTATCTTTATGACAATCAATCCCTTTTATAAATTAAAAGAATGGAATAAGACCGAGTTAATCTTAAAAATGTATTGTACAGATATATCACATTTTTTCAAATCAGCGTCGTCTTCTCATCATCCTTTCAAAGTATAATATCCACTTGCTGATGTCGGTATTTAGTGTGATTTACTTATTAAGTTCCTCTCTATCTTATTAAATTCGCTAATCTTTTTATTCATTTATGATATTTATTTTGTTTCAATCCCTGTAGCATCATTAAACCATTTTGTTAATTCTTTGAACACACTGGTTAGTCATACATTTGAAGATACATGGACTACTGTTTCTAGTATGCAGTCGGCTCGTATACAATATGATGCTTATCGTAACGAAATGAACCAAACAAAAAGTAAAAAACCTAATGTTAATAATAATTCTGACACTGTCACACCCACTACGATCACATTGTCAGGGAACTCATTTGCCACTGACTTGATTCACGATAATCATAATTTACAATCACGATTAGATGCAGCTTGTGGACGGTATTCCCAATTGAGAAAAGCTGTTCTATGTAAATTGGAATTTTTACAAGAAAACAGGGTGAGTTTATAAATCTAAAACTGTACATTTAACAGCAAAACTATGCACGCATAGTTTCCATTCGATAGTAATCACTATTGGTGTAAAACTAGAAGTAATCAAGTGTTGTAAACTGTTACGGTTTTTTCGAAAGGTGCGAGGTGTGTCAGTACGTTACTAATACGACATTAAACCTATGGCGATTAGATAAATTGAACAACTGATGCACAATAGGACTTCGACTATGACGCATCCAATCTTTTAAGGAACCAACTGAATCTCAACTCTTGAAGAGATTACGTGCTTCAACATCAATTTATTTCCAAGATAATCGCCTTATTATTAAGAGACTACCTGGAATATATAGGGTCCCGCTGTCATTATTTTACGTTTGAGTAATTTACCTATACGTTTATTAATATTAAAGGTGAATATTTTATTAGTTTTTCGTACGATGAAATATATCAGAGGACCGAACTCATTGAAAACATCATAATCCATTCTATTTTTAAAACATTAGGTGTGTCTATATCTCTCAATAGACACTTAACCTTTACCTACTTGGGAGGACTGGCAAATACCACCTGGGTTTAATTATCAAGTCACTGATCCGCTAAGTTTTCAAGGAAAACTTTTGTTAACTAATTTAGAAGCATAAGCCTATGAAACAAACAGACAGTAATCCTTTTTAATAAAAACCATAATATCTATAATACTTAAGCATCTGTTCTGAGTGATTCACTCTATTTCTTTGTGATGATGGTAAGGTATTCGGTGTCAAAGTGCCATAATTCTCCTGAGAAATTCTCTTCGGAGAAATTTTACAGGTTAGTTGTAAACTAATATTTTAATTATATCATGCACGTAATATAGTGTTGTGCAAAACATATTAAACTATGCATTTTGTAAACTTTTGTGTGACCCGGCTGTGAACCACGCTTCTCAATACGAAGGGTTATGATACAGTCTACCTGTTCAAACTGAAACGAAGGTAAAGTGTCAAACCTGCAAGCTAATTAGTAAACGATAACTGATTTAAGCAGTCTCCATTTTTAAATGGGTGTCATCAGTCATTTTCTATGTAATTTATCTACCACCAACATCAATGATATTGATTCGATATTTTCAATCTCTACTTGTTTCATTTTCATATTTACACTTCGCTTGTTATTAGTTGCGTGTTATGCAACACCAACTAGTGCTTTTACAGAATGCAACATCAGCATTCTTCTCTGGAAATAATCAACAATTGGATCAACTTTTAAACCAGTATAAAATCAAATTGTCAAATACACAAAATGGGATTAGCCATTAATTAGTTTTCTTTTTCTATGTTACTGTTTCACTTGCATTTCCTTTATATAATATGAAATAAACACATGTGATTAAGTTTTGCCTTGTATGTGCTGTGCGCCCATTAAGTGAAATACATTCATAAAAATGAACTGCTAATATTTCTTTCGACAGATCATTTTCAGCCTATATATGTATTTACACACGAGTGCAAAATTTGTGACTTAGGTGATACTAATTATGGACATTTACAGTGTTTTGAATTTCGAACTTTTTAATTATTCTTAGTTTTTTATTTGGTAATGTGTTATTCCGTTTGTATTTACTGTTTATGAAGTTGTTGCATATCTTCAGCAATCTATATTTACATTTAAGTAGTAAATGTTTGTGATTTTGTACAACTGCTAACCGGACATGGCAGCCAGTAATTCTTATTTTCATGGCAGAGAATTTGAGCCACATTTCCCAAGGGTTAATGTAGCTACATAGGTGGAACTGAGCTCGAATCTTAGTTACCGTAACCGCTAGGTTATCTATTCGACTTATCTATCTAGTAACGACTGGAATTGAATGCAACCCAGGAGTCTCGACTACCTTGTGTGACGCGAAGCACAATCAGATTGAAAAGAATGTGATAGCTGTGGACCCATACCAAACGCATCGAAAACGATGAATTTAATCGTATCCGTGGTCTGTACAGTATAGTGTGCTTTTTAATATCTGTGTATACTCTTAGTCATGGGATATGTTCAAGATCCACTAAAGTGCACTAGACAGTCGTTCTGTCCCTGCACGTAGTCGAACCAAAGACATTGAGCACTATACTTCTGGGTCATCCGGGTCATTATTTCCAGTTTCAGTCGAGTTTTATATGACGTAGATCTTCAAAACGGCAAACCACCAGCTAAACAATCGTACGATCAGCAACGACTGACTACACAATGTATTTAAGTAAACTTTAATGTTACGTAACCGGTGAAATTTAACCATGTTAGTGGTGAGACATTGTGCACGGATGAGAGTGAATGACGAGCATAGTATGCCTATTTGGATTCTAACTGTTTGCATACTTCTAATTGACCATGCACAAGTTGGTTTATGGTGACTCGGCTACCATATTTCCAAATGCACCACGTAAAACCACTAATACGGTGTATACAAGGATAAGACAATTTGATGATTTATCGGGACCAGATTCACAGTACTAGTTTATTTAATATCGTTCTCACAAAACAATGCAACCAAATATGACCACCTAGAGACCAGAACAATGAATACACTAAATAAAATCCAGGTGACTTAATACTGCCGAATATTGCGGTTTAATAGCTAAGAAAAAGTTCTATTGTTAAGTCAACATAGATGGGTCGTTTTCAGATGGATCGGTTCAGTCATACTCTTAATGCAACTAGATAGATCAAAATGAATATGGAATGCATATATTTCCTTAAATCGAACCGACTTCAAGGTTAGTTTCTTTCTCAGTACCGTAGAACGACTGATGGATATCTTAGATCGAACTGTATTATCCAAGACGAAAAATCCTGATTCCCTGTTTTACCAATCACAATCTGAATTATAGACTAAACTTAAAACATAAGATGCATTTAGGATCCAAGATGCTTCTGAAAGAGTATATTTAATGGTGAAATACATTTAGATGGGTGGTACTGAACGTCTGTTTCTTTTTGTTGAGATGATATCGATTGCATTTGGCTAAAATGTAAGAATGTGACGATAATGAACCACTTGCCTAGTGTGATATATGTACAAATAAATTGAGATCTTCAGTCTGTTTCCATGAGAAGAGCTATTAATATCCTGATTCTTGTACAAAATGACCATGTGCAATAGCAGGTCATAAGTTGAGTACATTTTCAAAGACTTAAATTACGACGAACTAATTCACCATCAGATAAACATTTAAACCGTATTGAAAAGCTTGGTAAGGTTTATATGGAAACGGGTGTATAACTGACTATAATTAATTGAATTTAAAATTCATTACCTACTATGTTCCTTCATTTGCACAAAAAAGACACTTAACAAACATGGAGGGACAAGTAACCTAGTTGTGATTAATCAAATATTTGACACACTACTGATTTGGAAAAAAGGATACATCTTTATTTGCTAAACTAGTGTTCTATGCTAAGGTAGAAAGGTGCTAATTAATTAAGAAACTTGTTTCTGTAGGAAAAGATAGGCTTAAACTGCTGGATAACAGTATAATCTGCCGTACACAAGTTGTCCATTTGCATTTATATCGAGCCAACTTTTCCATGTATAATTCTGGAGAAGCGGAGCGACCGGGATAGACTAGGTACTCCAAAATCGAGCTTTCGACTGACCTCTGTAATCCTTTGCGAAGCCAGGTAGGGTGGTGTTCGGAGATGCGCTTCGAAAGGGCTCGCTTTGTGCGGCCAATATAGCCTGCTCCACAAGAACAAGTAAACTGATAAATGCACATTAATTTGGACCAAAGTGGGAGCTTGTCCTTCACATAACATCGGACCAGAGTTCAGTCGAATCGAATGTTTTCTTCAGAGATCTTGAAAGCCTGTTTCTCAGAATTTCTGCCAAAGTATCTATTTCACACTGAATGTTAACGAAGTCTCCTTTGGTGTTGTGGACACCACGTTGTTGTTCTGGCTTAAGATTTTTCCCAATGGATTTAGGCGTATATCTGTTGCTAGTCAGTGCCTATCTTCGGCATCGATTGTATTTTCTGTACAGACGCATCTAGCCCTCGAATAGAGAATGGATCAGGTTCCTCTTTTGCTTCAGTGGGACCCAACTTTGATATTCGTGTACTGATCATTTGATGTTGGCTTTCTATGTATTGATCTTCGTAGAGAACCGCCAGGTCTCCTTTTTACCAAAGCATCTAAGAGGTGGGAATATAAATATGGCACTCATTCTACCGTGAACTTAGTTGATTGATAACAGTTATTGAACGAGTCCGGGATGTCATTGATATTGATGTTTATGTCACAAGTAATGAAAATGTCGTCTTTTATAGAACGAAGCTATCAACTACTGGTCTAAGTATAATGTTTTTGAGATCAGCAATGAAACAGTCAACTAGAAATGGGCCGAGTGGTGACCCCATTGCAAAGCCATCAGTTTGTCTATAGAACTGATTTATAAATTTAAATTGGACGTCGGGAGTGCATCGAAGAAGTAGTCCCTTCGAATATTGTATTAGAACACCGATACGTTTGTTCAGCTTCTCAAAATATTCTATCTTAGTGTATTGACTGTTTAGTAATTTTCTATACCGTTATTTCGAATCCCATAAATCTACTAAGTATATAGTCAAACGAATCTATTGTGAAGCTAATTTTTCTGCTTAGAGCACTAATAAACAACGATAGCTTTGCTAAAAAATCTAGCTCCTAACTTATTTTAGTTTACCATACTGTAGTTATGCGTAGGCTTTCTTATTCTTCCACTGTTCCTGCTAATATGACAATGCAATTTATTTCGAAACCATCCAAATGTTTAAATTTCATTTGAAAATGTTTCCAGTACCTCCAACTAATTAGAAGAGAGTGCTTAAATGTTTTGGGAATCTGATGAATAGACAAAATTAACGACGAACATTCCGAAAGGTAACGGACGCTAGACGTTAGGGAGACAAACATAAACCACTTGAGCACATAAATCAATTCCGAATTCAGATGATACACTTACTGTTCCCATAGTTTATTCTGTTTTTCTGAGTAATAACCTGGTTCAATAAAAGGGATAGTAACCCAATGCTTTAGTATCCAACAGTTTATATGAATCTTAAAACGCTTCATCCTGTGAACTTATTACTGGATTTTTTCTCAAGTCGGTTATTGATGATATTGTTTACTCAGCATTTGTCCATTTTTACTGTAAGCGATATATTGTGTCTTTGCAGAGAGTTGACCATTATTTATAGCACAAACTGTGCACCCACATTACTCTTGGAATATTCCCTGTGGGATGATGTATAGCTAAAACGAATAAGGTGAAAGTGAACCCTAGTGTTGTTTTTGCTCAATTACTAAGTTTGTATCTGTTTCAACACAAAACTAACACGACTGTAATTCTTACTTCGAGCTTTTAACATTAGCTGTGACAGGACTAAATATGGACATAAGCAGAGATAACTGTTTTTGGAATAATTATAACTTATAGATTTAATCTCGATTGGAAGATTAGATTTTTCTTCAATTTGTATAATATAAAGCAAAGAGTAATAAAGAGGGGATAATGGAAGAACTTACAAATTGAATACTACCATTTGAATGATCATTCTGAAACTGTACTGAATAATCAATGTTTATAGTTGGCCTTTATATTTCTACCATAGTTCCAGATGTCTGCTAAAATAAATACATTTATGTACGCTTTAAAACAAAATGATACACCTTGAAACTGAGCAAAGTCTGGAATAAAACTGAAAAAACTATCTCAATTGAGTTCGCGCTTAAGCTGTATAGATTATCAAGTTTCCCGTTACTTTTCCATTTATTTTATTCCATACATTGGATCTTTTTAAAACCTACTGACGGAAAATTAGCTCACAATTGGAAACACTGTCGAATATATTCAGATTATAAAGGACGTTAGAATTCGATGTTTTTTACAGAGCAGTTCTACAAGACGTTCTCAGATAAGGTTTAATATTTCACTTAGTGATAAGAAAGGATGATTGCTGTCAACGAAGGTTGTTACACAGGTTTAACGTTAAACAACTGAAATTCATCGTCGTAAGTGTTAATTAGAATTGATTGGGGTGTAGAAAAATTAAAGAGTAGAAACAGCAACTGGAGTATTGAGTATTTACAAAGCCAAAATAAAATACACTAAAGATATCAGACATTACTTGCATTCCAAATAGTCTTTTTTCACTCTATCAAGTTTCTCTTTAGTTTCTGCGTCAATATTTATTTCTCTAAGACTGGATTTTGCACAGCGCTCATCACGTTCAATTTCCTCACAAATGAGTTGATCTACTACTTGTTCGATGCAAAATAGTAATTCCTTGTTTGTAACTGCTTCGTTAGTCTTAGGACATTGTGTTTGTTCTTCGGCTTTTGCTATATAATTGTGTAACTCACGCAAAATAAAATAAACTCCATTAGACCGAAGAAATGTTCGTCCGTGACTGGTGGAGCAGAACTAAATTGACACTTAGAGTAAATAAAAAAGATTACCTGCAAAAATGTTTGGCAAATAGTAAGATACAACTCAGTGGAAAACAAACGAGAAAACTGGGAGCTCCCAGTTATAGTCTGCACAGATTTAGGCAATATAGCACGGTCTTCTTTGTCAATACAATCTTCTGGACCACAAAGTGGAACTAAAAATACATCGAGCAAACCAACGTCCTTGTTGAAAAGTTCACTATGAAGCCCTGGAAAGCCATATTTGAAAATAAGTTAAAATATTACGGATTACCATCTTCAAATGAGCAGTTTTTTATTATGCCAGATATTAGAATTTTGATACGGACGGAACGCACATTTGAAAATAAACTGATCAGCTTTCGTAATAGTTTTGATGAGCATATGGAGTGGCGTACTGATGTTAACCTACTTAGGTTAAGTACTATCTTCAATAACCAAACTCAATTAGTAAAATTAACTTACTGGGAGAAACTTCTGGATAGAAGAACTTGAGCTGAGGATCGATCTAATATGTTTGTTATCAAAACGTTCACCAAAATCATCCAACCAAACAGGATCTCTAGTCAAATTTGAAATCAAGTCAATAACTAGAGACGCTAAATCAGCATGACTTCTAGAATTATCCAAAGAGAGGGTAGTAAGGATCCGAGTGAACTCTTCACGTTTTTCTTTAGTTGACAGCACAGTTGATAAAAGACGTGTTCCTTGAACAGCTGAACAAATGTTAATTAAGCATTTGACAGATAATATGAATTCTGTGAGTGCTAAAGGAGAGAAATTATAATGATGAACTGGAGAATACACGTTACAAGGCAGAAAACACTCGACATACGAAATGATAGGAAAATGGAAATTGAGATGTGGTATATATACATCAACATATGAAAAGTGCAGTACGAAAATTTCGGACTAAATTAGATAGAGGATGTAGTGAGCTTACACAGACTAGAGAAAAGTCGGTTGATATTAAGATGCCTAAGCAACCTTAGTTATCATCGATATCTTTTTATTCCGATGATACCAAGAAATAGTGGTACAAAAAGTAGAGGGTATCGAGGAGGTTCACGAGAGTCCTAGTAAACTAGTTAAGCAGTTGGCAACCATTAGACAATGTATGCGAGTGCATCAAGATATATACTGATCAGCAAGGCAGAAATCCGCCCCAAATGCCCTGGTATGGCCGAGATTGGGGTGGGCCCGCCCTCCTCTCGAACGGCCACGCGTATATAACCCCTGCCATGGAAGTATTACTCACTGCCTTCTCGTGGTGGGGGTGTTGTTCACGAAAATGAGGACGAAAAGCGAATGTCCGGCGCTTTAACCGGATCCCAAACCAATGGTGCACATGTGCTCCAGTATCCTGAGGGAACAAATGGCATACGAACCAATCGTTGGTCACCGGCTACCATGGGACTGCATCTCCTCACGATGCTCTACTGCCTTGTGGGTCAGACCTTTAGGTCAAGGGCTCGAGGTGTGGTCTCCTAAGAAAACCACCTGCTCCGGTTTGGGCACCCGTTCAGTATCACAGCCTACACACAATTATAATGAAAATGATGATATTCACTGAAAACTATTCTCGCTTCGATTTACAGTCAAACAGTTCACATTATTATTATTACTTACTACGTAATTTATTCACTCTTTTATTCCTACCTTATGTATCCTTATTTTTCGACTTATACAGCAGCTCCCCTATGGTGGAAACTCGGTTCTATCTAAAAGTTCTCGAGTCACTGCCTGGTTGAAAATTCTATGCTACCACCAAATACGAATACTGAAGCAGTCGTCCTGAAACCACATGCACCATTCAAACTGGCTGCCTTCAACGCTCACACACTTATGCAGATCGGACAACAGATAAGGTTGGCTATGTCTTTAGAAAGTCTTAATATCGATGTTTGTTGTTTATCCGAGACCCGTATTCAAGACTCTGGTGAAGTGCTACAAACTTACTTTCCATATGTCGCTTCAAGAATCTTGTTTTACGTGTCTATCCGGGGACCCTGTGGCATATTCGTCTGGTCTTGCTGGCGTTGGTGTCGCACTAAGCTCTAAAGCTGAGGCAGCACTAATCGATTGGGACCCATTAACAGTCGGTTATGTGCTGTTAGATTATAAAGTTCCATCAAAGTGAGAAGAAATCGGCGTGGGAAACGATGTCTTTTCATCATCGCCGCCTATGCCCCGACAGATTGCAGCCCGGATGCAATCAAGGATGAATTCTACCACCAGTTAACTGTTCTTCAGAAATTGTAGTACTAGCCGGAGACTTGAATGCTCAGGCCGGGCGTCTAGGCATAGAAGAGAGTCGTTTAGATGACCGATGGGGACTTGTTGGTCGCAGGACAGATAACGTGGACCGTCTACTGCAACTGTGCACAGACCACAACCTGTTTCTGGCTAGCACTAACTTCCGGTACAGTCATCGCCGATGTGCCACCTGGCATCCTCCCTCTGCATCTCAAGCCTGGACTCAGATTGATCACATCGCGATCAGCTACCGCTGGCCTGGTTGTGTACAAGACTGGAGTACCTATCTAGACTCTGATCATGCCCTGGTCTGCGCCAATCTTACCTTACTTATCAGTGGCCAACGAAGTGACCGCCACCAAAGGATTGATGTCAGAAAGTTGGTTGCAACTTAATGACGCCATGAAAATGGCGAGTAAGTCACTTGCGGCTTCGCGAAACGTCCCGCTTATAAGCGCTGGGTTTCTTCAGGCTCCTTACAACTCATCCAAGCCCATCGGTCTACTCTGGGTAACGAGTTTGACCACAAACGACGACTGTTACGTAATGAAGTCGGGTAAAGCCTGCGTAAGGACCGACAAACCTGGTGGTCGGAGCGTGCTAATGATCTGGAAGCAGCAGCTGCATCTGGTAACTACCGGAAGCTCTTTCAACTCATCCGAGCCACTGGCAGCAAAAAGTCTGGTGTGAGCGAAACAATCTGTGAGGATGACGGGATGCCAATCACTAACATCCATCGACGTCTTGGACGATGGGCAGAATCCTTCGATGATCAGTTCAACTGGCAACCGGTAACACCGGGCAGACTGTCCTGCCCTCCATGGCCGGTGACGACTGATCCACCAATTGAGGTGGAAGTCCGCAGGGAACTCCAACTCTTGAAGCGCTACAAGTCAGCGGGCCCAGATGACTTGCCTCCGGCTCTTTTTAAAGATGGTGGTGACTTTCTGGCTAAGGAACTGACTGTGCTGTTTACAAAGGCCTGGGAACTAGAGAGTGTACGAGCGTCATGGAATCAGTCGATAGTTGTCTCTATCTTTAAAAAGAGTTCACGTCGTTCCTGTAACAACTATTGGGGGATAAGTCTACTTCCGATTGCGTCCAAGCTATTGGCTTCTGTTATAATCTCTCTCTTCTTACGGTTATGACCTAGCTATTCCCATTGCTTAGTATTCTCGGACACGGATTCACTCGACAAGTCCCCAAATCAAAACACGGTTGTGCAGGAAAGAAATTATATTCCAAATAACAAGGTTAGATGGAAGTCAGAAGCAAGTCAGAAGCACAATAGAGAAAACGTCAGTATATTTATAGTTTTTTACATGAGAAGATTCTAGAATATTCTCCAACTATCGGCTAGTGCTGATTGGCTAATTAGCCAATCAGCGTGCAGCAAAGCAATCGTGAATTGAGCATGCTTTAATCGGTCTATGTCCCGCTAACAGCTTCCGTCATACTTCGTAGGTTGTTCAAAACTCGAGAAACATTGACTCGCGAGGACGAGGCTGGTTTCCGTTCTGGTCGAGGATGCATTGATCATATCTTCACCCTCCGCCAAATGTTAGAACACCGTCATACTTATCAAAGGCCAACAATCGTAGTGTTTCTCGACATCAGGTCTGCCTTCGACTCGTTGGACAGGACTGTTCTCTGGGATTGTCTATTGAAGAAGGGTGTGCCTGAGAAGTTTATTAACATCCTAAAGGCCCTATATACAAACACCTCAGGCAGAGTGAGGGCATACAACCACCTTTCTCCATTGTCCCTTTCAAACAGTGTGATTAGACAAGGTTGTCAAATATCACCATTCTTCTACAACTTTGCCATCGATGACATTCTGGAAACAGCTCTGATGGATGTAAGTAATGGCGGTGTGGATCTGTTGCCCGGAGAAAGACTTCTCGACCTCGAGTATGCGGATGATATTGTCTTACTGTGCGATAATGCCCAAGCCAACCAATCCGCACTTAATCAGTTGGCAATCAGTGTCCGTAGGTATGGTATGTGCTTTGCACATTCGAAGTCCAAAGTACTTCTACAAGACTGGCAGGATTCTAATCCTGTACTCACTCTGGATGGTGAGCAGATAGAAGTAGTCGAGAAGTTCGTGTATCTAGGTAGCTGTATAAGTGCTGGTGGTCGCGTGAGTGATGAGATCAATGCACGTATAGTGAAAGCCAGAGCGGCTTATGCCAATCTGGACCATCTTTGGCACATTCGTGATGTCAGTCTGGCTGTAAAAGGTCGGATCTAAAACGCGTCGGTGAGAGCAGTTTTGCTCTATGCTTGTGAAACCTGGTCTCTCTGAGTTGAGGACGTTAGACGACTCTCTGTGTTTGATCATCGCTGTCTCCGAAGGATTGCTGACATTCAGTGGCAACACCATGTTAGTAATGCAAAGGTTCGGCATCGTGTGTTCGGGCACAGGGGACGATAATGCGATTGGTGTCACCATCTTGAAACATCGACTTCGGTGGCTAGGACATGTTCTACGAAGGTCGTCCCACAGAATTCCACGTCGTGCATTATTTGCCGACGCTGGGACTGGTTGGAAAAAGCGGAGAGGTGGTCAGTGTATGACATGGTGTCGGAGTATGTAAGAAAGCTGCCAAGGGCTGGCTTATATTAGTCCTTCTCGACTCTCTGGCTGGGGTCCGAGAGATGGTGCGACACAGTGGCTAGAGACGTTATCAGATATGGCTCAGAATAGGAGGCAGTGGCGATCCTGCTGTAAACTTCTTTTACGTTCTTCATAAAAAGTGGTTGTATCTTCCTTAGCTGAAAGATTTCTTCTGATTGTACCTTTCCGTTTCCCCTACTATCACTATTATTATTACACTACCTTACACTAATCTGTTCGTTATTGCTTTTCTTTTTTTCTCTTCGAATTCTCATTGTTTTGTGTGGCGCACATATATTTGGTGCCCTCTTGTACCAATATTTATGTGTTCAAATAAATAAATAAGACACAAATCCACACCAAATGATGATACTGAGATCTAGACACACACTGACCTTACAGACACAAGCTAGTCAACATTTGATGAAAGGACTGAATACTTCAGTGCGATAGCCGCTAAAAGCCTAAGCGATGTATCGAGTGTCGTCTAGATACTAAGCGATTCAAACTATTTACCGCTTATTTGTCTGTTTAAAACTACATTATTGCATAGTATCAGTCTCTACAGAAGATAGTGGTCAGCTGGAGGCATTCTACTGAACCGTAAGGCTAAAATATGTAGGGACTACAGTTGCACTAAACCTGCTACCTCCATAAAAATAGACTAGAAGTGGTCGAGTCACAGTTGGATTATAGATATTTTGTACTTAATGCGGACTTAGTATTAGTTTAACAGAACAGGATTTACAGACACTTCAGCAATATCAAAAGCACGGTACTGGTCGTTCGTCGAGTGACCATTCGCAATCTCTCTATTTCAGAGAAAAGGCACAAAATCCCCAAAATTTTCCCCAGATCAGGGAAAATCCCCGAAATGTTTTGGGGAAGCTTTGAGTCTTCCCCAATATTTCCACAGAATTTTATAATACTTTGAGGTTTTTCTCCGAAATTTGGAGAAAACTACCATATTTATCTCAACTTTGAGGGAAACCGCAAAATTTCTCCAAGATAGTGAGATTGGATTCCATCATATTACTAATGATTGTAACTCGTTAACGTCAACCACTCCAGATTATGTCGTAGTCACATTAAAGATTAAATGAAATCGTTTAACACAAAGTTTATATCCTTTTGTCTTTTATACATTTGAGCCCATAAATAACTGCATGAAATATGGCAACACTAGACATAGGACAGAAATGTGCTGACAAGCTCTTCGGGTTCAGGAGTTGAACAGACCGACACATTCTACTGAAGACACACTAGAATCGATCGGAATCACACACAACAGGATAATTTGATGTACATTAGTAGAACATAACATGTAATGTAGCAAAAATTAGCCTGAAATCAGCTATTTATCGTCAAGGTCTGTATGTAAACAAGTCTTGGGAAGACGGTATATTGATGTGACCTTTCAATAAACTGTCTGAAGGCCTAGAGCCAATTAAGCGATTAGGATCAAGCAAGACATTCTGCAAGAGACTATGTGGCTAATACTATACACACTAAAAACGAATCATGAATACTGGAGGTTTAAAAATTACGTGCTTGAACGACTAATAAAATAAAGGCGATGATGAAAATCCGAGACTTAATTCTATTAGTAATCTACCATAAGCGGTACGTGCATACATCTTTAAGTCATACAAATATATATATATTCATACCAGGAAAAGCCAACTACAAACCTTTTGACAAGTCAGACGAACATACTACTTTCACAACTTGATTCAGGTAGTGCTCAAGAAGTTCATCCTCAATATCCATTTTAGCCGCAGTAACCTGAAGCAAGGCTTTCAGCTGACATGTTTGGGCCATCGCAACGTACAAACTATTTTTGCCACTTGCAGGATTATATGTCCAATAAAGAGTAAGCTTTTAATAAGCTGGTTAAAGTTAAGTAGTTTCTTTATAAACAGGTCCTGAAGTCCAAAAATAGTTTTTTCCATGTGTGTCTTCTTTAAGGCGATGAATTAAGTGGGGCTAACAGCTGTCATTATAAATATTGTTTAATTGATGATTGTGACGAACCAGAAGACTTCAGGAGGTAAGAATGAGGTAACCACAAAAAATAGCAGCGACTTAATTGTGCTGACAATTGATGCGTAGTAAAACTCAGCTAAACTAGTTGGGTTGTAGAGATCGCAATCGCTTACAATCGAGTAAATCAGAGGCACATAATAGTGGCACATGTGAGGTATCTAGTTGTACAATCCAATCTCGACACGAGTAAGTGACTATGGAGAAAATACACCATGGCTCACATTGGATTGCCAAGAAATTTTTGTCTCAGTTCATACATGTACGTGGACAAAGTCTGATTGCTACCATATTGCTGGTGGTTTGATTGCACCACATATCGTACACCACTGAAGCGCCAGCATTGAGGCCAGTGTTTGTGACTGAGCTGCTCATCAACTTCAAACTTGGCAAATCATCGGGTTACATTTGCGATTGTTGTCAACCCGAAGGGACACTTTCCGAGCCGCGCACGGTGAGTTTCACTGTGCAACTTTCCAACGCTCAACTCCTGAGTCACTTGAGAAATGTTGTAGTTAGCCCTGTGTTAAAGTACTGAAAGAGACAGATCATGTCCGGTTATCAAACCATCAGTCTAACTAGCATATCAGTTGCGTTATTTAAAAAAAAGTGATTCAGGCTAAGTCACTAAGTCGTGTAAAATCATGCAATCTAGAAACTCCCGAGTAACACGGGGCTCAGAATGAGCATTAATGCTTAACGAGCCTGCTAATTGCGGGGTGGGATTTAACAACAGTCTAAGATGTCGGTTTGTCTCTCCACAAGAAGTTTCTGGATTTTAGCATTGTACTTTCATAGAAGCTCTCAAAATTCGAAATATCAGGTACCATACGGAGTGTGTAAGAAGAGTCCTTAGTTGCCGGAGGTGGAGGGTGAGGGTTGACGGTGTCATTTGAACTGTTAACAAGTTGAGAGTGGTTTGACTTAAGTGGAACTTGTCACAGGACAAACATTGACCAAACTTGTGCCCGTTTTCGTGAGCTCTTCAATGAATTATCTGTATAGGCTTGAGTATGCAATGGGTTGGTATGACGTAGTAATGTAGTGAAATTTTTTATACTCTCATGAATCACTCTACAAAATTTCCCTTTATTGCGTTCGAAATTTGTATACTTAACATAGTCCAGCAGCAGTTCCTTGAGAGTTGTATAAGGAAGCGAAATAGGCTTTTCCGGCATGGCCAGAGTTCTTAATAAGCTATATGCTTCTTTTTCGATGAATGTGAGGAAATGTGCCACAATATTAACATCCTCAGCATCTTCCTTGTTCATAGCCCAGATTTCGAACCTTTCAAAATAATCCTCAAAAGAACAAAAATCTGAATGTATATCCAACGATTCCATCACAGGACCTTGCTCTCGACGCCAGTATAATATTTGAAAGTATTTGAACTACCGTATGAACTAGGAATCCCAGAATTACCGCAATCGATTCAAGAAGTACTAGACAAGCACGAACGAATGTATTGTATTTTGAGTTCGAAATCAAGCATTCAACAAGTAAAATGAAATCATTAGTTCATTCAAACACCACAGCCATATCCAGCAAATGGAGTCAGTCCAAATAAGGGGTACTTCGAAGAGAAAGCTGAATATTTTTTGGAAAACAATTCGCAAGGATGAAAACATGTAAAACAACATAGTATTCTCTAGACTAAATTTTTCAATACTAATGAACGCTACTACTCGGTTAATTATTGACTTCGCACTCCACCATAGTCAACCTGGGAATCTCCTTTTCGATCGAAAATGCAGATTGACTGATTAATCTACCTCTGTGCACGACGAAATGTTGTAACTATATTGAATTCGCAACGTCTCTTTCTTTGAAATGGGTTGATACCAGAATCATCAGCTCTTGTTGTATCAACAGCTCCTTAAACAATATGAATAACCAAAGTAAAAAGATAATGAGAAACGGAAAATGCTTGAGCGACATCAAGGCTGAAGCTTAGGAATGAATCCTTACTGTTCTCCAGTTAATTAGCACATCGTGAAGCGAAACGGCGCACAGTGAAGATGTAGGGTAAGCTAACTCCCTTTCAGTCAAGCGTTAATCAATATTTATAGCCACACAAAGATAACTAATAGACATGTGATGAATGGGATAAGAAATGTACGCACACATGTGCGCTCATATAAAAAGTCAAGGTTGATAAGCGGATAAATAACAAGGTCAAAATATGACTCAAGAAGAATGAATAGATTGGCCTGTCCGAAAACAAGAATAAGGTATATGGGCTTAACATAATAACCAGCGCCACAAGTCGACTTCGAATATGAAAGCGAAAATAACTTGTTCTGATATCATAACTCGGTTCTTAGACCACCGAGACAACTACTAAAGACATGTAGATCATCAACGTAGGTGATCTGCATCGATGATTCGGGCTTGACTCGGATTGTACGGGATTAGAGTGACCTCTCAACGTAAGTTGAGATCACATATGGTGACTAATACTTAACTTGGATTATCCTGTAGTCGTAACCGGGTGCAATTGTCACTATGATGGATGTATGGGTAAAATTCAACATTATGACAAAAATGTATCAGTAAAAAGTAGGTACAAGAACAGTGAGCGACCACTGTCTCACGCTTCTGTCAATGGTGTGGAGTTGATTGATTCGCTTTGGTTGCCCCTGACCTTGACGGGGATCAGTAAACTGTTAGATATTTAGTAGCCCGACTGCCAGAATACATGGACAAGTCCCAGTGCAATTTCATTGGTTTTACAAGCAACAACTCTGATGAGTTTCTGTACTCTTTGTAATGTCAAATACACCTAAATTTTTGATTTTGTGTAAACATTTTGAACGCACCTACTTCTCCAATTCTATATGCTCATCCCAACTGTCTTTGTTTTGTGCACAGTGAATGCTCACGTCTGTTCTGAGAGTCTTGTGTTTGACGTTTCGTTTCATTTTTATTCTTATATGTAGTTTAGTCGTTTCAGAAATGACATATTTGTTTACTTAATTCATGTGAGTAAACCATGTCATCAGGAAACTTTAAGCTTATTACATCAGCAATATTGTTCGGTTTATAACTATGCTTCTGTCTTCCTATGGTGATTTGTAATCAACTTCTGAAGAAGAATGAAAACTATGATATATCCCTGATTTACTATTCATTTGGAGAGATAAAAATAACTGTAGTATAATGTGGAAGTTTTCAGTGCCCAATCATAAATCCGCTCACTCGTTTGTTATACACTGCCTGAAGCTAAATAGATCAGGATTATTTAGGTGACAATAAATTGCGAATTAAGAAAGAACAACCATCTCTGGATTCATATCAAGATTAAAAATGCCTTTAAAAACTCAATTTATTTTCTCCAGTCATTTTAACTCTAAAGGTGTTTTAAACCCGGATGTGTAAGAAGTGTTCAGCAGTTTTTGTAATATATATTAATATATGTCAGTTATTCCCCATGATGACAGTGTCTTCATACATTCACATGCGTATAAAATAAGTATATTTATGAATCAAAATAAATGTTTCACTAAGCAATGATAAAATACTAATAATGTAAAGTAATTGTTATGTGAATATTCTACTTAGAAGACTAAAATTTTATTGTTAGTACACTAGGATAGACGGATATGAATTTCTACTTTCCTAGGTAAACTGAGACGAGAAAATATTTGAAATATGAATGTATTTGTATCAGAAGAGGTTTTTGTAGATATTGTAGTAGTTTCAATAGTTGAGATAATGAGTTAATTGAAGCTGGATTACCATGGAAAACTTGGAAGCACTGAACGGCTGTTTCATCCTATTGTGGGTCTCTTCAGCAGTCCCACAATAGAATAAATGTATTTACCTTTTTTTTTCTAAATGTATACATTTACATCATCAAAAACTTCCAACTATTCAAGGATTTGGCTTCTTAGCAGAAATGATTTCAAATGATTGATCATTCAAATTAAAAGAATAGATTAGTCAAAGATCGTATCATTTGAATGGCTCTCATTTACTCAATAAATGTTATGATTATTCAAATGAATTAATATTTTGTATCACAAATATGATCTGTTATCGATTATTTCACATAATCGAATATGTTGAATGGTTGTTATCAACAATATAAAAGAGTATGAGAGAATAATCGATATACAGGAAAAAATAATGTTTTCAAAATAATTAAATTAGTCCTAATTCTATGTATCAAATACTTTAGTGAAATTGTTGGTACATTTCAAAATGATATTTACAAGTGACTAATTAGCTATATGGACATTATTAATAGTTTTGTAATTCTTATGATCATGATGTCAAATTAACAGAATTCTAATTTGGTATTTGATTGAGGTCTTGAACCGATTGATGTTAGACCACTTTTGGAAACCTGGAAGCACTGGACGGCTGTTTCGTCCTATCGTTAGACTCCTCAACAGTGCACATCCACGACACCGCCCGCGTGATTCTAACCCAGGGCCTTCGGTCATTCGCGCGAACGCTTAACCTGCTGGACCACTGAACCGGCATCCAATGGTGATAGTGTCTAACGTCAACCAATCCACGAAATTGCGCGACCATCTTCCATTGTACTGAGGTAGATACCTATCTCTACCCGACATGGATTAGCTCCACTGATCACGGCTTCTCACTAGAACTCTGAGAATCCCCTCACGAAGATAGTCACTAGTGAGCACATGTTAATTACTATTACAGGGGTTGTGGAGATTATTAAGTTTTTGATTGAGATCATGAATTGGTAATTTGATCAAAAATGTAAACCTTATCATTGGGTTCCAAGTTCTGTAACAGCACATTCAAAACCATTAAGATTTCATACACAAATACAATTCAAAAATT